TTATGCAGTTTAAAGTAACCCATCTATATCATGGTAATGCATTTGCTTGTGGTTGCAATCCATTTGCTGACACAACTTACTGGCCGGGTTTTCCCAGGGAAACCAGGCCCCTTCTTGCAAACAAGTCCGGGAGAACCAAAGACCTGCCTCTGATTGATAGACTGAACTCAGTGGAACTACCATCTGGTTATGACCAACAGGGCTAGCCATGGTATAGATGGCCCTAATTGAAATAGATGGTTTACCATGGTTTACCTATTAAAAATGGTGGATCTTTCCGTGGCTATGTTAAATAACCAGATGGTATATGAAACCCCATGAAGCTACTTGCAGGCCCGTAATAAGTGCCGAGGCCCCCACAACAATAGCCATCCGTCTGGGGAACATAGGCGCACGAGGGATTCCTGCAACGGCTCTCAAAGGTTCCCGCAGCGCAGCCCATGGCTCAAAGTCAGCAAGCGATGCGGTGCTGAATCCTACCCTTGAGACGCAAAAAGCTGAAAGGGTGCGCTGATGATTGGTGAAAAGCACCTGAATGAAGCCGGAACAACTAAAGTTCTTATCCACTATGTGTGACATAATATGTGATTATATAAGGTATCATCTTATCAAGAAGGATTGAAAGACTAGTGATATCCATCAATCAAGTGGAATAAGAAACAAACATGCCTGGTCCGCTTCAACCCTGATTATTGCCCATGTTTAGGAGACGAACCCATCAACAACATTTGACAATGAAACACAAAAATCGAGTTTAACATCCTGGGCTGCGAAAATCCTTCAGGTGCAAGTATATATATATTGAGTGCCGCTGTCCAGAAACCACTGAACTCATTTTCTGTGAGTGGCATCAATTCCTCGATGCGCTGTTTCAAAAAGACGGAGAGAAGACTGCCTATAAGGAAAGAAAAGGAAAGATACAGAAAACAAATCGATGACACATGTGCAAGGTGCAATTTGATTCAATTGGATGGTTTCATTTTTTTTTGCAAAGCGCCAATCCTGAAACATCCTAAAAGCAACCATCGATCACAAAGGTTAGTACGTGGCTACGAATCTTCGACCTATCCCTGTTCTCGAAACATCATCCATTAGGGCTTTCCATGGTAGCCAGCCATAGATGACCAAAGGATACGCTGAGGTGCCCAGTTTCTTCGGCCAATCCTGCACTTACATCTTATGATCAGGTATGACCTATAAAATCTTATAAAAAGTAGGAAAACAAGACCGTTTTTCAACTGGCCAATAATCCAACAGTTAAACAGTTTTTTTGAGGTAAAACACTGCCATTTACCCAGGAATTAAGGTAGTCTTGCCCCAGAAAGGATTTGTCAAAAAGCATAATTCACCGCGAATCATCGGTGGAATTGGTGGATTCGGAGGTGCTGAGTTTTTGAGTCCATCAAATGGAGCCACATTCCCTTCTGGCCACCCCCTAGAGTCCTCATATCATGACTCTACAGCCCACCCTTGTTGGTCATAAAATCCACGATCTTCAAAAACAAATCCACTTCATAATGCTTAAAGTTAAATCACCATGTTTGATGATTGAATCTCTCAATTAGTGATGCAAAAAAAAACGTTGACTCCTTATCGTTGGTAAACATCGCCATGTTGAATGTATAAATCACATTGTAGAGTCCATGATATTCCATGATGTTCTCACTACATTCCCTCTGGTAATCTAACGTAACTATGGAAAATCACCATTTTTAATGGGTAAATCCACTATATAAATGGCAATTTTCAATAGCTTTTTGTATGTTTACCAGAGGGTAGTATGATAGTTATATAACAGTTACATATCCCGCGTCCCCATGAATCTCGCGTTTTCCCGCCTCCGTAAAGGACAGGACTTTGGCGGCTTCCATGTGGGCGCGTTGTCGCTTCAAGACCTGTGGCGCCAAACCCGGCCATGAGGATGGTGGGTCCATGAAAATTGTGTCGTTCTTTGTCAGGAGGAGATGAAGGAGCCAACACAAAGAATTGGCAAGATTTAGGAATTCAAGTGGATATATATATATATATATGGGAGGGGACTGTTGTGAGCGGCAGAAAATTGATTACTGTAATATAGTAATATAGTAATATATATATATATATATATGTATAAGTCAGCCAACGAACAGTGGAGGAGATAACCAACAAACATTTTGGGGGACAGAACCTAGTCCACTGAACAGTGGATACTACAGGAATCCAAGCATAAAACATGCAGGGCGAAGCCGGGGATCCGCCGGGGATCCGCCGGGGATCCTAGGGATCCTAGCTACCACCCAGAAATGGGTGCCTCTGAACACGCACATCAGATAACCCAGGAACATAGGAACATGGAAATATTAGTGAAGCCGCCACAATGGGGATAATGTAATAATTAAATATAATTAAGATTATCTATGCAGCAACATATCTGTGATGTACTCAACATACATCCTGACCGCAAATTGAGCATTGCTTTTTTTTAAGATCATGAAATCTAGATAAAAAGGGAACTGCATGGTATGCTGCGTAAGCTGGGCGGCGTTAAGCTCTTCGCGTAGGCACTTGCAGATTTTCAGGCGTAGGCAAGATTGCATAGGCTGAGCTGCAAGCGGCTGTCTTCTGCATGTGCGGTAAAAAAAATGCGTCGGCGCTCGCGTAGGCAGTTTTTTGATGTGCTTCCGCGTAGGCTACCTTCCATGGAGTAGGCCCGCGTACACACTGCGTATGTGGACCCAAGCACCCGAAAGAAAACACTGCTCAATTGGGGAAATGAAAAGTAGCTGACAACCACAGGAAGCCAAGCACAAGTACGCAATACGGTAGTTTAATATACAAACCAAAATCTCATATGGGTGCATAGAGTTGGTGTCCATCCTAGACAATGCACAACACAAATACACCAACATCAGAGGCACACACAGCACACACAGTGAAAAAGGATGAGATAAGAAGTTAATAATCCGTTAATCCGTTCATCCCTTAGAATTCCATAGCCCTCCGCAGCCAGCTGCACCTCAATCAACTTCATTTGCTTCTTAAACGCACCCACCTCAGAGGTGGTGCGCCCCAAGTCGACGGAAAAGATCTTAACAGATTTATTCAAGATAGTTCTTTTAATTCATTCCCAAAAGATTGAAGATGTTCCCAAACATGGCACTGATTGAAATCTTGATTGATGTAAGTAATATAAGATATAATCATCAAGAATAATCATCATCCAGAGCATTCTTATTAATCAATATGTATACTATCACATTTGAATGATATAACCAATATTATGAATCAATCTGATTAATCAATAGATATAACCATAGCTTCCCCAAGTGATATGATTGTTACAACTGCTGACAAAGATATGCCATGTCGGACCACCAATGCGACATAGCCAGTGATCCCTAAAGGAACATGGTGAATCAAACGGATAGCAACAAAAAAAATACAACGTGATCACTTATCTAACCAGCTGTGTCACTGTTGTTTTTTTTGCATTCCGCTTCAAAGTTATTTCACAGCTAGCCATGAACTTACGAAACACAGGTGTCCAAATCAAGCTTACAAAATGAGCCCACTATTTTTTTCCAGTCGGTCTATAAGATCATTAAACATCATTAAACATCATTAAACATCATTAATCCATCCAACTTAGCCAAACCAAGGCTTCCCCATCAAACCAACAATTTTCTTTGGTCTCTAAGGCCATGGGATTCCCATGGCTCATCTCAGGGATCCCACCAGCTCTGTCCGTTGCCGCTCAAGTTTTCTGACCTAATCACCAGCCACGAGCGGGGTGGTTTAGCCATGACACATAGGATCCATGGTGCTGGTATATATGCTAACATGACTGGGGTATATTCATGGGATCCATGGAGCACCATTTGTTTAGCAGCACCATGGATCCCATGGGTGATAGATATGGTAAGATTAATATGATAACTATAGGGTCATATAGGGTATAGTGTAAATGGGGTACAGTGTAATGGAATCAATATATGGTAATATATACATACATATTAACACATACATCCATATACCCAATATTGTTGATATGGGGATATAGATGGATATAGTCATCAACAATACTATTCGTTGGTCCAACAGTCCAACAATTGGGCATGCCTGAAATTCTATAGCCATTCAATGGGAAACATACATTCGATCAATTTCGATCATATGATTCTGGGGTCATTTTCAGACAAACCCATCTACCTGCCTGAATGGGTCGGAGGGCTAATGCCAACGACTTAAATATTTAAATATATATATATAAGAATGGAGCCTTACGGGAGCGAGAATTCCACAGAATCTCTTTGGCTTTGTTGGCAACCCAAACATGTGGCTGGAGGCCAGGGCCAAAGCAAAAAAGAATTGTGCAACGCGGTCTTTCCACTACAAGATCATGGAAGCATGTCCGGATTGCATTATGGCCGTTGTGTGGATGGAAAAATAGTGGTACTACAAAATGGGCATTGATCAATTCCTGGAGGGTATGTACCCTCTGGTAAACTAACGTAACTATGGAAAATCACCATTGTTAATGGGTAAATCAACCATATATAAATATCCATAAATTGCAATTTTGATTCGCAAACTGTTTGTGTACCAGAGGGTAAATCTCCAAGACATGCTCAGTGCTGGTTCTTCAGGCCATCTCCGTCCATGCCAGGAAATAGGCCCGGTTTTTCAAAGGGCTGGTTGTTAACTCATCCCATTTTGAACAATGGCACAAAAGAAAACATAACAAACATGTCGAAAACCACCACTACTATAACATGGCTGGTTTGCTTTGCCAGATGACATTCACCTGCTGCTCCACACCAAAAACCACCCCAATTATCAACCGTTGGGACGCTGTTGCAAATCTTCCTTAGCAGGCTTAGCAGGGGTATACCAATAGTCATTCCCAACAATCTGAAGAACACTTCATATTTATTCATATTTGGCATTATTTGAGGTCAAACAAACAGAAAAACAACAGCTACAAAAAAAAATATAGGTTCCTGATGGTTCCTGTAGTTTTTTATCCCTTCACCCAATCCATTGATGGGCTAAATCTCGTCCGTCCCGGAAGTCCCGCCTCATTGGTCAAGCGATCCACTTCTCGTCGATCAGAAGACACACGGTCGCGCTCCTAGACCCGGCGGAGGCGGAAAAGGCGTGCCTCTTAAACCAGTACAACGATATATACTGTAACCAGTTTGAAACCTTGGAAAATGGTTAGCTTATATATGAATTATGTATGATTAATGTATGATTTATGTATGATTATGTTAGATTATGTTAGATTATGTTAGACTGTTAGACCCACGTGTAGCAGAACCCCCAGGAAATTAATGTTGTGCCTTGGGTAAATATGTCGACGCAACGCTCGAGAAAAATTGAGCACCTGCCAAGTCTCAATGCTGGCGGTTCACTAGTTGGGTTGACCGCTCCAAACAGTGATAATATGGCAATTGTCAATATGTGGGGCCCGAGCATCAATCCTATTTCACCAACCAAACTTAGAATGTAGACCCCTGAACTGAACCTAAAAACCCATACATGGGAACCCGGAAGTTGGCGCCAGCCTACTCAAAATAGCCATTTTGAGGCTCCATCTTGCAGCCATATCCAAAAATCATCCCAGATCATCAAGAACCAAGACCCAGGATGAGTAGTTCGGCTCGGGTGTTCCCGACCACTAGAATCACACATCACGAGCCCACGAGCATTCAGGAAACTGAATGATCTTTGAAGGTCAGGTAGCTAGTAGTTTCATTGAAATTCCTGATGCAATACTTCAATATAATCTGATCCCGTCTAATCCCCCTCTCAAGTAATTGGCTGACATCTTCCCCGGCCCACCTGAAGGTTGGCATCTTTCGCCGCGGCCTTCGTTGTGCCACATGGAAAGCCGATGTGGCGATCGAACTTCGGTTAGGATTTCTTGGTGTTTTCCCAAGTGTTTTGTGGATCGACATTTGATGATGTTTGGTTTTGTAGCACTTCCGTGTTTTCAGATAAACCATCTAAATTCTCCAATTTGGAAGTACATACTGGGAATGGTTAGGTGGATCCAGACCTGCCAGATGAAATTCCATGGCCGTGGCTTGCATTTTGGGCACGTTGAGGAAATATTCACCAAGGCACAGCATATACCCATGGCCACCGAATAATTGCACCAACAGAAACTGGTCGGTGGTATACCTACCCCTCTGAAAAATATGAGTTCGTCAGTTGGGATTATTATTCCCAACTGAATGGAAAGTCATAAAAATTCATGTCCCAAACCACCAACCAGAAAAATCCTCATCAGTTTCCCCATGAAACTTCGCCATCGTATGGTATATCCATGCTATATCCCCATTCTCAGGACCTTCAGCTTCTCAGATTCCTCCATCAAGCGGTTCAATCGAGCTTCCTGCATCGTTGTGACGTTCAGCGTATCATAATGTGTTGCTGACATGTGTCGCTGAAATGGATAGTTGTTATATTGTGTTATAATATGTTTGTAGTATTGTTATATGATGTTCCACACTGGTGTTTCAAAGCAACATTCGGCTGTCATCTAGCCATCATGGATCGTCTATGGAAATTACTGTACTTCATGCATCTTCACGCGATACATGTCATGTCGATTCACAAACACCCTGCTTGTCGGTTGCATAACATGTATGCATGTTTGATGCACCATCTTCAAACATACCAAGACAATACAACATATATTCGTATTATCTCAGTTGGATATCTGATATCTGGATCACCCACCCCAAGCCATCTCCCATCTCACATCCATCACCGCCTTGCTGCTGCTGTCAGCCTCGGTTTTCTTCACCTTCAAGTCCAAGTGGTCTTTTACCTGGCTTCATAACCCAAATCAACCATGCTGCAGCAGGCCTTTACCTACATCTTCAATATGTTTACCTACATTTACCTTCACAAATCAAGTAAACTAAGTAAATGAACGTAACATTCCATGGATCATATGGGGAAGCAGCCAGCATTTTTTCACGAAATCCAACGAAATCAGCTGCTGAAGCCCATCCTGTCGCCATCCCACGACATGGCCTTCATCAACTCAGCTCTTTCTAGCTCCAATTCCTTCACCCGCGACTCAGCGCTGCTGAGCTGTTTCTTCATCTTCTCCTGGAGCCAGGCAAAATCTCAACAAAGCGCTTCAAGTGATCACAAAAACATGCTGAAATGGCTTGAAGATGGTTTGAAGAGCCAGTTAATCTAATGGTTAAGAGCCAGTTAATCCAAGAGCCAGTTAATCTAATGGTTTGCAAATATTTGCATTGTTTGAATATGAATCAGGTAGATTAATGTGAGTTGTCATTGCTGCAGAAACCAACAGTACAGGTCCAAAATCAAAAACATACATAGGGTATAACTAGTGAGATCAGTCATTGAAAACACATGAAAACAACCTTGGGCCTGCTATCCCATGGTCCCATCCGGGATCACTGAGGTGACCTACAAGGGCCCAGTCCTGGTTCTGTTCCAAGGACGCATTTGTCTTCCTCAGACGCCAAGCTTCAGCGTCAGGAGATGTCAGGAGATGTCAGGAGATGTCAGGAGATGTCAGGAGATGTCAGGAACTGGTTGGCAGCTGAAATGTTCAGTCATGTTGGGACCGTGGCAAATTGATTGTCCATATATATATAATATATGTATATCATATATCCATATAATATAACTTTGTGTTGAATCAATCCATCTAAACCAATGTATCAGCGGTTTTTGAACCAAACGGTTTACTCCTTAACGAGTTCTGGAGAGCATCGTGGCTTGTGGCTGCAGGATGCTGCATGGAAAAACCATCAAGGATCATCAGTACAAAATCCGTCGACCTTCTGTTGATTCTATGATAACAGGCCTTTCAAGTGTTGTCTATCAGTTATCAGATTAAACTGAGGCTCTGCAAACGCTTCACTTCATCATTGACCTCGCCGGAAGTCAAAGGTACACCAGAGATGTGGGGGGGAAGCCGTGGAACAGGGCTTTGGGAGATCAGAAACATTACAAAGACAGTTCATCTCATGATGAAATATGCGGACATATGCTGAAATGATTGTGCACCTGAACCAAGGTGATTTTTTGTTGGGGGCTTCCCCCTGCACAACTAGGCCTCACCTATTATGATGTCTTGGTGATCGCCGCAGCCTGCTTCTGCTCTTGCCGCAATTGCTGCACCTCTCAGGCTGCGAAAAATACATGGTGCTGACAGGTCAAAACAAACATAAAAACCCAGCAATCCTTGGGGCTTTACTGGGAAAGAAATACAGGCAAGAAGTTTTTTTTTGAAAATTATGTGGGTACAACTCGACGCTGGACATGCATAGCAATGCACAAATGGCATTCACCAAGATTTGGGTCGGTCAAAACTGTAGCCACCATCTAATCAACCTATCCTGTTCGCTGCCATTCGATTCTGGCAACTTTTCGCTGCAGGGTTCGGGATTGGCAGATCTACCTGTTTGGATCATCTACTTACCCTCTGGTAAACTAACATAGCTATTGAACATGACCATTTATAGTTGATTTACCTTTAAAAAAACTGTGATTTTCCATAGTTATGTTAGTTTACCAGAGGGTATCATCTGAATGCAGGGAACCAACAAAAATTATTGTGTCCCTTCAATGAAGAAGGATCTATCAAAGCAACACTGGAGAATGCGGCATAATCCATGATCATCCATGATCTATATCAAGATCCTCAGGGGATCTTCAAAAAACATTTTTTTCATGATACAACCAAACGAAGCCATGGCCTAGCGCCAAATCTATTCATTTGGGGTGCTTTGTTGGTGTTTTCTTTTAGACAACATCTTTAGAGGGGTCTTATCCCATTAGAGTTCCTTCTAAAATGAGAAACTTTGTTCAAAACTCTAATGTTGTGTCTTAGTTTTCTAAAAACAAAATGGTTTTCATTTTTTTTGTTCCAAACATGTCCATTGGAAGACCTACGACCTGGTGCGTGTTTGAAAAACCCAACCTGTCTCCACGACGGCCCAATATGGCACCCCGCCTCGCTGTCTTTTTGGCAGGTCTCTGAGATCGCTTTGTCCAGCTCCTGTCGTTTCCAAGATGGAAAAACTATGAAAAACTAATGGTCATGGTCAACATCACACATATTCGTTTTTTTCAGGCAGTTTGTATTGTTCCCACTATTAGTCACTATGGAAGATTAAATACCCTCTGGTTATTTAACATAGCTATGGAAAATAACCCATTTATAGATGGTTTACCTATTAAAAATGGTGATTTTCCATGGCTATGTTAAATAACCAGAGGGTACCTGGGATTGATATATTGGATATGAATCGTTCCAACATGTTCCAACAATCCCATGATCCCGTGGACCGAGGCCAGTGGATTGCTTTCAGAGTTTTCACCTAATGGTGCCTGCAATGAGCCGGGGATATCCCAACGCATCGCAACCCAAGTATGAACCAAGAATGACCCAGCTATGCAAACACAGTTTCTCATGTTTTTTCAATGCCACGCAGCGTGAGCACTCAGCCAGCGCAGCGGCATCACTCCCAGATCCGGACTACACCTTGGGAATGAGCCACAAGGTCCCAGTTTTGTGGAAACAAAACTTTGATGAAAGACTTAGCAAGAAAAATCAACGAGGTGTATGTATGTATGTATGTATGTATGTATGTATGTATGTATGTATATATGTAAATATGTATGTATGTATGTATGTATCTATGTATCTATGTATCTATGTATCTATGTATGTATCTATGTATCTATGTATGTCTGTCTGTCTGTATGAATGTGTGTGTATGTGTGTGTATATGTATGTATGTATGTATGAATGTATGTATGTATGAATGAATGTATGTATGTATGTATCTATGTATGTATCTATGTATCTATGTATCTATGTATGTATCTATGTTTCTATGTATCTATGTATGTATGTCTGTCTGTCTGTATGAATGTGTGTGTATGTGTGTGTATATGTATGTATGTATGTATGTATGTATGTATGTATGTATGTATGTATGTATGTATGTATGTATGTGTGTATGTATGTATGTATATATATATGTATATGTGTATGTTTATGTATATGTATATGTAAATGTACATGTGCGTGTGTATATGTATGTATGTATGTATGTATGTAAATATGTAAAATTAAGTATATGTATGTATATGTATGTATATGTATGTATATGTATGTATATGCGTGTATATGTATGTATTTGTAAATGTATGTATATGTATGTATATGTATGTGTATGTAAGTATATGTATATGTATGCGTGTGTGTATGTATGTATGTATGTATGTATATATGCATATATGTATGTATGTATGTATGTATGTATATCTATGTATATCTATGTATATCTATGTATATCTATGTATATCTATGTATATCTATGTATATCTATGTATATCTATGTATATCTATGTATATCTATGTATATCTATGTATATCTATGTATATCTATGTATATCTATGTATATCTATGTATATCTATGTATATCTATGTATATTTATGTATGTATGTATGTGTATGTATATGTATATGTAAAATGTAAATGTATGTATGTATGTGTGTATGTGTGTATGTGTGTATATGTGTATGTATGTATGCATGTATGTATGTTTGTATGTATGTGTGTGTATGTGTGTATGTATGTATGTATGTATGTTTGTATGTATGTATGTATGTATGTGTATATGTATATGTATATGTATATGTGTATGTGTATGTGTATGTGTATGTGTATGTGTATGTATGTATGTATGTATATGTGTATGTAAATGTACATGTGTGTATGTATATGTATGTATGTATGTATATATATATATGTAAAAGTATGTATATGTATGTATATGTATGTATATGTGTGTATATGTATGTATATGTATGCAAATGTATGTATATGTAGTATATGTATGTATGTATGTCTGTATGTATGTGTGTGTATGTGTGTATGTATGTATGTATGTATGTTGGTATGTATGTATGTATGTGTGTGTATGAATGTCTGAGTGTATGAATGCATGAATGTATGAATGTATGAATGTATGTTTGCATGTATGCATGTATGCATGTATTTATGTATGCATGTATGTATGTATGCATGTATGCATGCTTGCATGTATGTATGCATGCATGTATGTATGTCTGTCTGTATGTATGTATGTATGTGTGTCATAGGTTTCATGTTTTCTTTGTGTCATGTGTGTGTCTACAAGTAACATAAAAAAATGAGAAACTGCAAAACTAGAGGCAAGACACATCACAAAGGAACCAAACATCTATATATATATACTCACTTGCAGCCATGAAAAATATCCCTATCCCATCCCATTCTGCATTTGGAAAAGCAACTGAGTTGGCCATAAACCAGTTTTAACCATCGTAGGGGGCCCACATGACCATCCCTTGTTCCCAAGAGACTTCGCACAGCTCGACGGCACAAAGGGCACACGCGGGGGCTCTGTCGCACGATGTGTTCGGCGCAGTGCTCACATAAACAGAAATGCCTCGTGTCGAAGAGGTGCCATTTGGCTCACCTAATGTCGTATATCATTAACCCATAGGATCCATGTATGGTATATATGGTAACATTTACCATCAATATACCCCCAATGTTAGCATATATACCATACATGGATCCTATGGGTAATAAAATAAGTATGTAGCGGGAACATGATAATTGGAACATCGTGGGATATAAAAGTTGGTGGGTTCTAAATATGCAGATGTTACGGAAACCCAAAAGATATTTGATGAGGTGTTGAATCAAGTGAATGCAGTTCGATGCCAAAGAATGATTCTTCTTGTTTTGGATGATTTTTCCTTTGTCAAGATGATCCAACAGTGTATAAAATATTGATATATCATAATATATATATATACATAATAAATATAAATATATATATATATATGTATTTATTTATTTATATACACTATGTAAATAAATAAAAAATACATAGTAAATACATACATAAATAAATAAATAATATATACATATATATGTACCCATGTATGACATATTCACCAGTTTTGACCCCACCAATTCTCCAAATGTGATATTCTTGGATTGATGTGACAAAAACCATGAAGCCATTGCTTTCAACGCTAAATAATCCACGAGTTTTCCTCTAAAGATGTTCATCCAAGTCTGGGAAATAAAATGCCTTACCCCTGGGGATCCAAGCATGTCCTGGGGATGGTACATTGAGTCTGAGGTTAATACCACGGTTTTCGAACGTGATTGGAACCCCAAACAAACTTGGAGTTGAATGGGACTGCATCCCCACAGTACGCCATGGTCACTTGTGATTGACGTATCCATTGTTTTTGGATTCCCAAAGCAAGGAATGGATGACAGCAAACCATAGATCACATCAAATTGGGTTTTCTTCTCATTGATACACCCATTACATATATATATATATATAAATAAAAACTTGTTTCTGATATCAAAAAAATGGACCTTATGATTCCTCTCAGGTTGTGGACTGATTCCACTGACGATCACTGATGATTCGTTCAATCAATGGCGTTACAAGACCCACAAACTGGGCAACAAAGGGTCAAAAGTGAAATATCAATGGACCCACAAATGGCTGGCTCTTTTGAGTATACCATCCATTCTTGGGGGCCTCAATAATTTGCATGCATGTCCACATGCTTGATGATTGAAAGTTTCATGCTTCGCCAGCTATTTCCACGGTTCTGAAAGACTCGTGCAGGACTAGGTCCAAGACACCCACATGGGATCAAGGCATGAGTTTTTCCAACATCCTGGCCATGCGTGCCATGCTGCAGAAGTCTACCAAGTTTGTTGTGTCAAAACGGCTGAGTCATATAAAAACATCGACTCTTGGTTGCGATATTAAAATGGTTCTGGGCCAAAACCCTGGTTTTATAACATCAACATAGCTGGCAAAACCCTGGTCCTGGTTTTATAACATCAACATAGCTGCAAAGTGGATATTCATCCCCCAAATTTATGGAAAATAATGTGATTTAGCCCATCCCCATGGCTATGCCATACGATCGGTAATTCAACACATATCAGACGCAGTACCCCAAATATCGTCAAATTGTGCATATAAAGGTGGACCAGCGCCCCTTAAATTCAAAAACAAAATGTATATACAATTTTACACATGTAGACACACTCAACTTGCCTGAAAATTCATGCGTACTGCGTTTGTTCATTCTTGGTGGGTGGTTTCAACCCCTGTGGGCAATGTTGCCACCTCCTGGAATCATATTTGGAGTGTGAAACCACCACACATGCAAAAACTGCTAATGGTTGATGGCATCAGACTCACGTGTAAAATATGCTGGTCAGTATGGTGGCTCCACTCCCGGGTGAACATCTCCAAGGGGAAAACATGACCTGGAAAAACGAAGGGCGGGTCAGAAACCATAGAATCCCATACCCGCCAGTCAAAGCTTAGAGAATTGAACATTCTAAAGTCAACTGAAACAATACACAAGAAGTCCCATGAAATTTGAATGTTTCCAAGCAGAAAACATTGGTTACAAAAGGCAAACTGTTGTGGTGTTTATGTTATTTCATCAACCCTAGGCTTTTGTTGGACCCATTCACCACACCAGCTGTCTCTTACTTCGAATTTGGTACGAGTCAACATTGGAGCCCAACAAAAAAACGGATTCATTAGTGCCCCTAAAATCTGGAGAGTTTCTCGCATCATAATAGGTTATCGGGGACTATTGGCCTGCAAGTTCGATACATCCGGAACCCTCATCCGCAGCCCTCTTGGACCCTGGCCTGACAAACCACACAAAGTCGACTCTCCGTCTCTTCTTCACCGTCTGAGACTGGTAGTGCTCTCTTTCGAGTGGCCTGGGGATGTGATTGAGCAAGGTTTCCCAACGACAGCAACCCAGCAACGAAAGGCAAAGTCAACGCAGGTCCGCGGGGTTCCTGAAATGAACAGCTTACACCATGATGGGTAAACAAAGGAAATTTATATAGTTAGAAAGCTTCAGAGTTACGGACGATGGTCATGTTTGTGCCTACGGGTTGCAAACCGAACCAGCGGTTTGCATGTTTCTATATCTTTCATGGGGTTAACGGGGTGGGGTGGGGTGGGGTGGGGTGGGGTAATATAACGTTCATTTGCACTGCGTGACATACATGATGCTACGCTGCTGTACGTCTTTTGCACTTCCTCACATGCATGATGCTACGCTGCTGTACGTCTTCTTGCACGTCCTCACATACATGATGCTACGCTGCTGTACGTCGTCTTGCGCTTCCTCACATATATGATGCTACGCTACTGTATGTCGTCTTGCACTTCCTCACATATATGATGCTACGTTAGTCTACGTTAGTCTTGCTCAATGGCAAGATTTGGACGCATGTTCGCGCTTGGCAGTGGAGATGGGAAAACAGTTCCCACAAAACCCTCTCCAAGTTCACTGCAGAAATTGTGAAGAACACTTAGCGCAGAAAAAAAGAGAGTGCCGCTGAGGTTTTTTACATATCCAGTGAAAAGTACGCGCGTACTTTTTAAGGAAATTGAACTTTGAGAGAGATGCAAAACCACTGTGATTTGCGGTATGAAATCAATGACGAACACTGCAAACGTTGAAAACGCGGGTTCGATAAACAACCCGCCGGGATGTTTGTCAACTAAGTTAAAAGCATAACAGCTCGGAAGCGTGTGAATTCACAGGTGAAACACTTTTGGGCGCAAAACCAAATGGACAACGATGGTGCCTTTGGAGTCATGCCAGGAGGATCAGGAGCCTCGTGGCACCACGTTCTCATGTTGAGAGTGGCATGAATCCGAGACAATGATCAGTTTTACATCAGGATGTTTTTTTGCGCTATGAAACTCTATGATCAGCCTGATGGACTGGATGACCAGGAGGAGGAGGAATGCCACTGCGAGCAAATACCTGCAGGCTGGCAACGTTGTCTTGAAGAAAACAGAGACTTCAAAGCTGCAAGTTACCTAACTGTGAACAAATGGATTTCAACATGTTGGGCAAAACATTGTTGCATTAATGGTGAGTTCATACTTGCAAACAGGTTTCTGGAGGAGGCTGTGGTGGGACCAATGCTGCTGCCTGCAGATTTGACATTCAAACTGACGTGACATGTTTCAGCCGCCACAAGCATCCAACTTAAAACCCTACAAAACATGACAAAACAAAACTCATGGCCTGTGCCACCAAATTCTGCTGCTGCTGCTGCATTTGGAGCACCTGTGTATTGGCCTGCAAGAACAGTGTGCATGTTCACCTACATAACAACCCGCGACGTGTTGGATTTCCAATAGACCTCCAGCAATTAAGCTAATGATTTGTAGGTAAAAACATGTAAAAATAATTCCTGCAGTGGGGTTCACACAGCTTCCCCAACTAAATGCACTTGAACACACATGAGCACACTCAGACTCTGAAGAAAAAACGCCCAGCCTGAGCTGCCATCAACATCATTGCAGCCGCCTACCATCAGATTGCAGTGCAATGTTCATGCTACAATGTGAAATTCAGCTCAGCATGCCTGCATCATCATGCTAGCAGCTTGGTCTGCCGTAAATGATGAAGGAGTCGAAGGATTGCGGGCAGACTCAGTTTTGAAAATAAATTGGACCAACAATGCATAGTACTGTCAGACACAAACATGACATCAACAAACATGAAATCAAAGGGTGCAGCCAGGCTACAGGCCAATGCTGATGTTCATTGCGGAAGCGTTTTCTCTCCTCATCCTGAGTGTGGCATAATAAGGGGTTTCAGCAAAATTGTGGTCAAAAAACATAGCTGCAATTAATTGTAATTTAATAGCCCAGTTGCTCTTTCTTGTTTGCTCTTGGAGCGTTCCTTTCTTTTGCCCCGCATGATGGCAGCAGAAGGAGCTAAACCGCATCGTTTTCAGAATTGGGATGGTTGGATGGGATTTGGTTGAACTGGCCTGTGACTTTGACAATGTGTGACTGTGATATGCGAGACTGTTGAATGACATCGTATGGTTTTTTGATCACTTAGTAACTGTGTTTAGTTCAGCTGTTGCATGAAAGAGTTGTTGGTTAGGCAGCTTTGACATGACATAGAAATTCAAGTATAATGTGGTCCAGCATATGACTGCATTCAAAGCCACCATGAAACTGCAAAAATGTTTTCTCCGATTGATTGTTGCACATTGTCCCCCATTCTGATGGTTTTGAACCAGCGTATTTTGCACCAGCATGCATGGCATAATTATTAGTTGCAATGTTCCATGTCACATGTGGAACACGTGATTTCACTTCCGGACTCAGGTTGTGGCAATGGCAAAGCTGTCGGAATTATGGAGTCACATGCAGCTCCAGCAAATTGCAAAGTTATGTGAGCACCCATGGTGTCTTCTCAAGAATGCATGGAACTACAATCATTACACATCTCAAGCTGCAGTGCATGCGCAAATGATGGTTAAATTGTAGTTGCAAGAGCAGAATTGCACTGGTTGCATTGCAAGTTTCATGTTTTTGGCTGACCTCATGCAAACAACAGACCAACATAATCCAATTCATACTGGCTGGTTCCATGTTCCATCCCATCATGTTGAGACTTGACGCTAACTGCGAACAATTCTATGGAAAACAGTTCTATGATTTTCCAAATGTCCTCAAACCCTGCACTCCGGCATGTTCGTTTCTCTGGTTGGCAATTGCTTTTTGTTGACGCCATGACCAAGAACAAAGATGGCGCTGCATACCAAAAGAGATTATTGAAACGGCAGCTGGATTGGATGTCAAAGGTGGCAGAGGAGGCAGGATAGAAACAACTTGTTCAGATGATAGATAGAACTTACTGGCGAAGTAGGGGCAATTCTTTTTGCTCATGTTTTTTTTCCTATGGAAGCATGTGGAAATCTAGCAGCCGGTTTGTTAAATGTAATCCTCCGATAAAATTGGGTATATGTATATATATATACACAAAGAGAGAGAGAGAGAGAATGTTATATTAGCAAAAACATATCGAAGGAACTACCCCCAAAATTGGTATGTTCACATGTGTGGGGAGGCATTGGAAATCCAATTGTCAATGTCAATTCTGGCAGGCGACTGTGGCACTTATTTTGCACGCTCGTCCCTTGGAACCCGTCGCAGGCCACTGCAAGTTTAAAAAAGATACTGGTTAGTGTGTGTCTATGGAAGTGTTCTGAAACCTCTGGGTTGCAGGCACAGGCTTATCTTCTTCTGCAGCGGCTGTGTTGCCTGAGTCATCAAAGAGCAAGACCGGTTTGAAAACCAAAAAGGAAAAATCCAAAAAAGACAAGACCAAAAAGGACAAATCCAAGAACGACAAAACCAAAAAGGAAGAATCGAAGAAAGACAAGACCAAAAAGGAAGAACCGAAGAAAGGCAAACAAACAGCAGATGATCGACACCAGCCAGGGCCTAAGCTCTTGAGGTGCAAACCGCATATGTCGTATCTCAGTAAGCAGTCACTGCTTTCAAGTCAGTGTGACACACACACATGCACATTATTGTTGCACTGGTTTCTTGCCAAGGTGACTTCCTCCGATTCCAGCACTATAGCACTGCAGCCATGGAAATAAAACCATGGATTTGCTGCGGAACTTTAATTTGCAGTCCTATGGTAGCCATGAACACTTGCTCATTCATGCCTCACAACCAAGCCACTACGTTGGTCCATTGGCTGAGACTCAGGCAGGCCTTCATTGCACTGCCATGCGCTGGAGCCTCAGATGGTGAAGATCAAGTTGATAAGATGAAGCGGCTAAAGCACAATATCATATCAGTTCATTAACAATGATGATCCAATGCCAATGATGACACAAGCAAAATGACAGTACATTCAGAAATACTTTTTTTGCAGTAGGTGGAGGCCAGAAACTGACTATTTCCTGTGACCTGACTGTTGCACATTAGAAGCTATAGAGCTCAGTACGTTGCATTGCAACAGACGGCTTTCTTGTAAATTCAATATGAAAATTGATTCACTCCTCTTTCAAACATGCATACTTTGTAATGGTTTCAGACTTGATCTGTAGATGTAAATTGACATTTAGCTGATGAACAGCTTCAACGAAATCATAGTCAATGTTTAAATGCAAGAACCCACATGAAACGTGTTTGGGTCAGAAACTGTTCCGCCTGAACCTTAGCTGCCTTAGCGCTGCAGTGCCTGAAGCCATGATGCTCAATAGTTTTCACTGAACAAAATATGTTTTGTTCTATATGATTCTGTTGATTCAATCGTTTTTCAAGTCTTTCAAGCTTATATATTTTGTAATGCTTCATGACTTGCCCTGCAGAAATCAAGTGACTTGGATCCAGGCACTATCCCGTCTGCACCTTAGCTATACCTTAGCTCCGCAGTGCCGGAAACCAGACACTGGGTATCTAGTGTCCTTAGTGCCCAATGCGGGAGGCCAGACAATGGGCTTAGTAACAATCCAGTGCCGGAGGCCAGACACTGAATTGTTAGGTAATACCCAGAGCCGGAGGCCAGACACAGAGTGTTTATTTACTATGACCTGATTGTTGTACCTTAGAAGCTATGATGCTCAGTAGCTTTTTTTCTGGAAAAATGTTGTTTTTTGTTGAACATGATCATGTTGATTGACTTTTCTTTCATACATGTGTAATCTGCCATGTGTCATGACTTGCCCTGTAGATTTCACCTGACATTGAGCTGACAGACATAACCCAACAGTAAGAAAAAAATAGTCAATGTTTTGGATGCAAGAACTGATATCAAGCATGCTTGGGTCGAAACACTGTCCTGTTTGAACCTTAGCTATCTTAGCCCCGCAGTGCTGGAAACCAGACGCTGGGTATCTATGCTCCTTAATGCTCAGTGCCGGAAGCCAGACACTGGTCAAGTTGCTTCAGCGCCGGAAACCAGACGCTGTGAAAAACCCTTAGTACCAGTGCCGGAAGCCAGACACTGGTCAAGTTGCTTCAGCGCCGGAAACCAGACGCTGTGGAAAACCCTTCGTACCAGTGCCGGAAGCCAGACACTGGTCAAGTTGCTTCAGCGCCGGAAACCAGACGCTGTGAAAAACCCTTAGTACCAGTGCCGGAAGCCAGACACTGGTCAAGTTGCTTCAGGGCCGGAAACCAGACGCTGTGAAAAACCCTTCGTACCAGTGCCGGAAGCCAGACACTGGTCAAGTTGCTTCAGCGCCGGAAACCAGACGCTGTGAAAAACCCTTAGTACCAGTGCCGGAAGCCAGACACTGGTCAAGTTGCTTCAGCGCCGGAAACCAGACGCTGTGAAAAACCAGTACCAGTGCCGGAAGCCAGACACTGGTCAAGTTGCTTCAGCGCCGGAAACCAGACGCTGTGAAAAACCCTAGTACCAGTGCCGGAAGCCAGACACTGGTCAAGTTGCTTCAGCGCCGGAAACCAGACGCTGTGAAAACCAGTACCAGTGCCGGAAGCCAGACACTGGTCAAGTTGCTTCAGCGCCGGAAACCAGACGCTGTGAAAAACCCTTAGTACCAGTGCCGGAAGCAAGACACTGGTCAAGTTGCTTCAGCGCCGGAAACCAGACGCTGTGAAAAACCCTTCGTACCAGTGCCGGAAGCCAGACACTGGTCAAGTTGCGTCAGCGCCGGAAACCAGACGCTGTGAAAAATACCCTTGGTCAATTGCTTCAGCGCCGGAAACCAGTGTGAAAAACCCAGTGAAGCCAGACACTGGTCAAGTTGCTTCAGCGCCGGAACCAGACGCTGTGAAAAACCCTTAGTACCAGTGCCGGAAGCCAGACACTGGTCAAGTTGCTTCAGCGCCGGAAACCAGACCTGGTGGTCAGTTGCTTCAGCGCCGGAAACCAGACGCTGTGAAAACTACCAGTGCCGAAGCCAGACACTGGTCAAGTTGCTTCAGCGCCGGAAACCAGACGCTGTGAAAAACCCTTAGTACCAGTGCCGGAAGCCAGACACTGGTCAAGTTGCTTCAGCGCCGGAAACCAGACGCTGTGAAAAACCCTTCGTACCAGTGCCGGAAGCCAGACACTGGTCAAGTTGCTTCAGCGCCGGAAACCAGACGCTGTGAAAAACCCTTAGTACCAGTGCCGGAAGCCAGACACTGGTCAAGTTGCTTCAGCGCCGGAAACCAGACGCTGTGAAAAACCCTTAGTACCAGTGCCGGAAGCCAGACACTGGTCAAGTTGCTTCAGCGCCGGAAACCAGACGCTGTGAAAAACCCTTAGTACCAGTGCCGGAAGCCAGACACTGGTCAAGTTGCTTCAGCGCCGGAAACCAGACGCTGTGAAAAACCCTTAGTACCAGTGCCGGAAGCCAGACACTGGTCAAGTTGCTTCAGCGCCGGAAACCAGACGCTGTGAAAAACCAGTACCAGTGCCGGAAGCCAGACACTGGTCAAGTTGCTTCAGCGCCGGAAACCAGACGCTGTGAAAAACCCTTAGTACCAGTGCCGGAAGCCAGACACTGGTCAAGTTGCTTCAGCGCCGGAAACCAGACGCTGTGAAAAACCCTTAGTACCAGTGCCGGAAGCCAGACACTGGTCAAGTTGCTTCAGCGCCGGAAACCAGACGCTGTGAAAAACCCTTCGTACCAGTGCCGGAAGCCAGACACTGGTCAAGTTGCTTCAGCGCCGGAAACCAGACGCTGTGAAAAACCCTTAGTACCAGTGCCGGAAGCCAGACACTGGTCAAGTTGCTTCAGCGCCGGAAACCAGACGCTTTAGTACCAGTTCCGGAGGGTCAAGTTGCTTCAGCGCCGGAAACCAGACGCTGTGAAAAACCCTTCGTACCAGTGCCGGAAGCCAAAGTTGCTTCAGCGCCGGAAACCAGACGTTGTGAAAAACCCTTAAAGGCATTTACCTTTGATTCAGGGCGCCAAAATGAATCAGGGCGCCAAATATCAATGGTGAAACTTACATGAAATGCTGAGAAGCAGGTCATGCTGAGAAGCACACAATCTGCTGAAAAGCATGTTTTGTTGTGACATTATCATGCCTATTTTTTTGATGGAAATGGTGAAGCTTAAATGCTGAGAAGCAGGTCATGCTGAGAAGCACACAATCTGCTGAAAAGCATGTTTTGTTGTGACATTATCATGCCTATTTTTTTTGATGGAAATGGTGAAGCTTAAATGCTGAGAAGCAGGTCATGCTGAGAAGCACAAAATCTGCTAAAAAACATGTTTGTTGTGAAATGTTTATTTTTTGACGGAAATGGTGAAACTTAAATGCTGAGAAGCAAAATCTGCTGAAAAGCATGTTTTGTTGTGAAATGTTTATTTTTTGACGGAATTGGTGAAACTTAAATGCTGAGAAGCAGGTCATGCTGAGAAGCACAAAATCTGCTGAAAATATGTGTTGTTGTGAAATGTTTATTTTTTGACGGAATTGGTGAAACTTAAAATGCTGCGAAGCAGGTCATGCTGAGAAGCACAAAACCTGCTGAAAAGCATGTTTTGTTGTAAAATGATTTTTGATGGAAAAAATAAAATCATTTAATGGATGTTTGATTGGGGAACATTCAAGAAACACCCAAACTGGAACTAAAAGGTATGGTCGATTTATTTTTGTATATATGTTGATTTTCTTTGTGCTGATAAGCACTATTTTGCTGAGAAGCAACTACTGTGCTGAGAAGCACTGAAAAACAAACCTAACTCGAAATGCCATGAGTACCATTTATCCAATCACTGAATGTCACCAACGCCAGGTATGTTGAACAAAAACTTCAAGATTTGTTTCAACTGTAGATTTCATTTACATGACATGAATCCATGTAGGATCCAATCAAAGAAATATTGAAATAATATTATAGTTAAATGGGGCCTTCTTAGTATCTGTCCTGTCAGGAACCTTTCAGGCACTGTCCATCCTCGAGCACTTCAAGATCTTCAGGTCTCACTGTGTTGAACAGCACGATGCTGAAAAGCATCAGAGACCGAGTTGAAAAACTCTTTCCAGCCGAAAGGCTGTGTGATAGTGCTGAAAAGCACAGGTGCTGAAAAGCACCCTCGTCGCACAGGGCGACAGGCTGGGAGTTTCACCTGGCATCCCAGTGCCAGCCTTTTTTTTTGTAAACGGCTGACGCCAAGGTCAGTCCCTCCAAGTAAACTTGCCATGCAAGCAGTGAAACCTTGGGAAGTCTCATCCAGTATGAGTGGGATGTCGGGTGCCCTTCTCACTGCAGCCAGTGTCCATCGGCCCATTTGGGTGGGGGCGGCCTTAAGTGGACCCTCCCGGCACTGTCTCTGTGGGTCGGAAAATCTCGTCTCTCCAGGATACGGTGGGATGCACCAAGGGAGTAACTGGTTGTCATGGGGAGTTGAAGGAGGATACTAGAAAAGGGGATGGGTGCACCCCCCTGCCAGGTTGAAGACGCATACACATACTGCATGGACTCACCAAACGTACAAGCGTACACGCGCACGCACGCGCATACAGAGACTGTGTGCCCAAGAATGTGTGCAGTATACAGCGAACTCACAAGTATGTTCACTCCCCGCGTGAGTGATATTTAACCTAGGTGCGTCTGTATATATATATATGTGTGTGTGTGCGCGTGCAGCATGCAAGGACAATCAAAACATCATCATGGTGAAATACACTACCTCAAGAAGTATGATTCTAGTTTTACTGTCGTGTATTTTCTTGGGATCCAATGATGGCAGGGGATGGAAAAACACATTGGTATGTGGCATGGGAACCAACTTTTCACCAGGAATACTGCTGACATGTTTCTTTGTAGTTGGTTTTGCAAAAAAAGTAGACTGAATAAAGATATCTTTAGCTGTGCTTTTCAGCACAAGAAGTCCATGCTTTTCAGCACAGAAAATTACTGTCACTGTGAAAGATTGCAATCATCCGCCCAGACGGGTCCTCACGAAGTGCAGGAAGAAAGAAGGCACTTGAAGCGCCGCAGGACTTCAAGTTCCTTGGCCGCAGAATTAGTTGAAAGATGTCTAAGATTGGATTTACAGCTATGATCATGTGTTTGCAAGATTTTTCAAGTCTCATGCATGTTCGGACAAGCTGAGCTGCGGCAAGCTGCAACTGCGCTCATTTTTCCATCATCGCATGTTTGGAAGCGTTTCGATCACCCTTCAACTTTTTTGCGCTTGGAATCCTGCCCAGAAGAAGCAGGTGCAAAAAAACGAGTTCTATAAGGCTTGCTCACAACCCATTTGCGGTATGAAAAATGCAAACTTACCATGCCCTGACCTTCTTCTCCTCCTTCTTTTTTTTTTGGGGCAGCGGCACCATGGTGCTGTCGGCATCCTGAAAAAATAGAACCCAAAATCAAGTAATGTAATGTTCAAGGAGATGGAACTTGCCAACTGTCCTCACCCTTGATTTCTTCTCGGATGGTTTTTTTCCTGACAAAAAAAGTGTAGGTTGCAACATGTTGTGAAAAATATCAGTGCTCGCATTAACACCCACTGGGTAGCTGACGAAGATTTTGGCGCGGCCCCCTTCACGAAAGGCTGCGACTGCATGAGATGTGTGTGAACACAAAATGGAAGAATGACAGTCATACAGCGTCTAAGCTTTAAAAAAGATACTCATTGAAACATCATTTTTTTAAGAATAGTCAGGGTGGTGCCTTTTCTGCAAAAATTTCTTGCGTTTTGTTGGCATCTTTGAGCCAGCCCAGTATGAAGTCCCTGGCCTTGGATGCACTGCTTGCCCCAGTCGGTGATGTCCCAGCTTCGTGCTTTGCGGCCTGTACAACTATCATGAATACAAAAACTCGTGCAATGACCAAGAACAAGAAGCAGTGCCTGTCACCACAGCGAATTTGTGCTTTTCAGCACAGTGTGTTGTGCTTTTCAGCACAGTGTGTAGTGCTTTTCAGCACAGTGTGTTGTGCTTTTCAGCACAGTGTGTTGTGCTTTTCAGCACAGTGTGTTGTGCTTTTCAGCACAGTGCATTGCGCTTTTCAGCACAATGTGTTGTCCCTTTCAGCACAATGCCAAGTTCAAGCCCTTTTCAAAGCCCCTCGCCTTGGCGCTGCTGCTTGCCCCTTCTCTTTCCTAAAAAATCAGGACAGAAATGATCTCAGTATATCTCAGTAGTATGGTTGCACAGGTTGTCACAGACATGACTGACAGAGTGTTAGTCCAAACATCAGAAAACTTGTAGTCCTTGGATCCACGGCTGGGTCCGGGTTCACTCTTGGGTGGCAAACATTCAAAGATCATTGAGAGTAGACTGAGAGTGTGTGACTTAAACCATGATTGAGCCAAGTGTTTGGCTTCTAGGGCCCTGCCTCTTTTTCCTTCTCCTCATTTTTCTTCTCCTCTTTTTTCTTCTCCTCTTTTTTCGGTTCTTCTGTACTTGGCATCTGCTTGGGCTGAATCCTCGCCTTCGGTTCTTCTGAACTTGGCATCTGCTTTGGCTCAATCCTCGCCTTCGGCTCTTCTGGACTTGGCCTCACCTTCGGCGTCTGTTTCAACACCAACCCAGTCCTGTTTCCTGGCTGTGGGAGTCTGGCTTTCGTTCGCTCTCCCTGCCCTGGTGGCTGCTGTGGTTGTTTGGGAGGTGGTGGCTGCTGTGATTGTTTGGGAGGTGGCCCTGCTGTCTGCTGTGGTTGTTTGGGAGGTGGTGGTGGTGCCTGCTGTTGTTGTTTGAAGGGAGGTGGTGGCTGCTGTGGCCGCCCGGGAGGTGGTCCTGGTGGCTCTGCGGGTCTTTGGTCACCTCGGACTGCTGCTGGCGTGGCTGGGCCGACTGCTGATGCTGCTGGTGCTGGTGCTCCTGGTGGTGACCTTGGCTGCAGGCATGCTGGCAAGTTCGATCCAGCTTGGCCAAAGGTCTGCTGAGGAAGCAACATCTGCGGAATTGCATTTTGCGGCGGGGGTGCTGGCGGTAGGGGCCCGACACGTGTGGGTGGCGTGGCACATGGCCCCATGGGTGGCCTGGATGGCCCAGCGGACCCGGGGGGAATCTGCTGATCCAGCGGCGGTGGTGCCATGTGCATTTGCTGCTGCTGCGTCTGCTGCTGCTGCTGCTGCTGCATCTGCTGCTGCAGCTGCTGTTGTTGCATCTGCTGCTGCATGGCTTGCTGTGCCGCCATGGCCTGCTGTGCCATCCCAGCAGCCTGCGCTGCGAGGAGCTGCTGCCCCCTTTCTTGGAGCCATTGCAGCACCAGTGGGGCCTGTGGCTGCCGCCCCTCCTCCAGCTCGAACATCACATCCTCCAACGGAGGGCATTGGAGCTGTCTGAACAGCCAACTGACAGCCCTGTGCATTTGGGTGTTGGCAGTGACCGCCCTCTCTGCTCGTCTGAGCATGTAGCCCACCCCCTGTCGCTGAGGGCCCTGTGCTCCTTTGCCACCTCCCCTTCCAGCCATGGCTGCGCTTACCCCGAGGAGTTTGTGTCACTTTTGAAGTTGGGATTCCCTGCCTGAGTTTGTATCACTTTTGAAGTTGCGGTGTGTTAGAATTATGTCCAACAATTTGTGGAGGGTGTCATTGACCTGAGGTTGCTGGTTTTAATGATGTGTCAATCCAGCTGGCATTGAACTTCTTTAGACTCTAGAGCATGCTGCCGAATGCTTGCTGCTTAGGCGCTGTAGGGTGGGCCTGCTGTTTTTTTCTTTCACCTTAAGTCTGCCCCTCGCCCTTTTCTAAAGAGCATAATGGCATCGCGCAAATCACTGACATATATTCACACACTGCAAGTCTAAGTTTGTTTTAAACTGTGTTCTTTGAACATGCATCACAAACTCTGCAGCAGCTCAGCAAAAATCAACGACATTTTGATGGCTTTTCAGCCCTGAAAACCATGCTTTTCAGCAGATCCTTGCTTTTTCAGCATGTTCGGATATTTCGACTGAGGCTGTGTCCAAGAAAGGGAGATGTTCCAGCCTTAGCTCCAGGACAATGCGGCACGTGTCAATGCAGAAAAGCTTACAACTTGCTGAAAAGCACACTACTGAGTACTGCTGAAAAGCAGAAGCTGAAAAGCTGCGTGCGTGCTGAGAAGCACACCACTGAGTACTGCTGAAAAGCAGAAGCTGAAAAGCTGCGTGCGTGCTGAGAAGCACACCACTGAGTACTGCTGAAAAGCAGAAGCTGAAAAGCTTGCTCGTGATGTCACGGCCTTCAACCTCAGCTTGAGAGTACCCATTCCAGATCCGATTTGTGTTCACTCCAAACCCGGGTTTGGTATGGGTCCCTGGTACACATTTTTTCACGTGAAACGTGGCTCAGATTATAGTCAGTCTCAACTACAGTAGGCTCCGTGCTCATCATCAAATTGCAATGCCGACGAAGCTTCATGTTATCCTAGGGAAATCACCAGGACAAACGCTGAACAAGATGGGCAAGAAAGCTTACTCACTTCAAGCTCAAAAAGAAGATTGCAAACGTACTTTCAATAGAAGGTTTGGAAAGAAATGGAGGGTTGCAGCCTGGTATGTCAGGGATATCTCAGCCCGCCGCGATGCAAGGTGGTCCTGCAGACTGGCACAAATCATAGCTGCAACTCAGGCAGACAATGGCATCTTGGCCACATCAACTGTGTGCCGCATGCTCAGGAACAAAAAAGATTTGATCCAGATAGAAGAAAGCAAAGTACCTGTGTTGATATGTGAGAACGAGGAGCTAGACACAACAACTCCCAGAGGAAAAAACATCTTTGGAAAGCTGGTTCTTGATGCTGAGCTAGAGGCGGGATGATTGCGCTGTCCTTGCAAAATCCTGGCACAAAATCAACGTGTCACATTTTTGATAAGATGACTCACACACAGCTAAAGAAAAAGTGTGCAGGCAGACCTCTGCAGTGATCGTGTCAAGCGCGCCCTCGCGGTTGCCAAGAGCAGAGGCAAAAAATTGGGAACGAGGAATCGAAAAGTAGCTGGGAAAGGGGCAGCTGCCCGAAAAAAAAACTAGAATCTCAAGCAATCAAGCTCTTGCCAAAGATTGCCAAACTATACCGCCTTGGATATGGTGGAAGGATCGTGCAAAGGAACCTCAACAAAGATGCTGCTGCGCTGCGTATGAACGACAGAAAAATCTACCATCTGAGCAAGGTCCAACGAATTGTGAAAGTGTTGCAGAAAAAGCGACTGCTTCGCTGAGCGCTGTTTCACCACCTTTTTTCTCCGAATTCGATATATCAGCTTTGCTGCCCGCTCTCCATCAACGCGATGAGATATTTCACATCGTCAATTGCTCTGCCCTTGTTGAGCTCATGTGCTATCACTTCAGCGTTACTAAACTTGCTCACTTCAGTGCCATCCACAGTTGCTTTCAATGCGGAGCAATGCACAGCAGCTTTGCCACCAGTAGTCTCAACAGCGTAGTACTTTAGGCAACTGCTTTGCTTCTTTTGCGAAGAAAGGGATGGCTCAGCAGCATCGGATTCAGATAGCAGGGACACATGGCTAATAACCGCTTTGCGTTTCATGACTTCTTGGGCGCTTTTCAGCTGCTAATCTAAGTGCTTTTCAGCCACCAAAAAGCATCGCAAAAAACATCAAGAATCAGCAAGTGGCAATGGTAAGTCGATGCAAACTGAGGATCTGAGGAATTTAACATTGTGTATCTTTATCAGATAGTAGCATCAGTAGTAGTGAAGCAAACTGAGACCATGAGCCAGTGTCATTGCATCTTGCCAAGCAAACGACAGAAACATGTTGAACTGCAGAATGTTTTCACACTTGGCCCAGCAGCAGTCTAAGGTTGCCAGGAGATGCCAAAAATTGCACTTAGGCAGGTGCATCGGAAGGCCCGGCCGTCGATCCAACATTGTTGATCTTGGCCCACAGATCAGCCGCCCACTGGTGGCCCTGAGCCAATGAGTTCGGCAAGTTTTGGGAGGTCTCAAGTGCTTTCAGCACTGCCACACAAATATCATCGTTTTGTTTCAGAGTGGCGCCACCAACAGCAGCCTCAGTAGGATCATGTAGACACAATGATGACCATTACTTCCATTAGTACTGAAAGGGTTGACAAATTCATCTTGTGAGGACAAGGTGAATTAAGTTTAAAGTAGGATGCACATGGACTGACCCTAGTTTCAGGCAGGTCAAGAAACAGTGAAGACGACCAACTTGGAGTCGTTTCTGATCGAAACTTTGCCCTTTGAAACATATCGCATATTGAAGTAGTCCTGACCATTGTGCTTCACATGAGTGACTGGATCCAAACCGAAGTCTGCAGCCTTCTTGTTCTTGCGCATGGCAGGCTTCTTGCAAACATCAGGATCCTCCTCACCCTTGCCAGGAGCTGAGTTTCCATCATCCTTGGTCTCAGCAGGAACGTCGATGCTAGCATCGTCCCCATTGACATCCTCAGCTGCACTCATAGCCGAGGCTGGTCGCTTCAAGGAAGCTGCCGGCTTCTTCAACTTGGGCACTGCTGGGGACTTGGATTTCGAAGCTGCCTTGGGACTGCTGATGCCACCTGAAGTTGGTTTCTTTGGAGTCGCTGGGGATGATTTGGCCTTTGCTTTCGCTTTGGCCTTTGATTTCGGAGTTGCCGGCGCAGGTGGAGCCTCATCAGCGCTGTCGCTCAAATCAGCCACTCGTCCATGGTCCACTGCCACCATGATCAATGACGATGGGCTCTAACTGCCAAAGATCAAAATTGGGATTAGGCCGCAAGCTTTGAACCCACTCACTGAAGGTTGCGACCATTCATTGAATTGTGTGAAACTCGTCAAACCGGTGCATATTTGGCAACTTCTCAGTTGCGTTGACAGCTTTTCAGCACTAAGCAAGCTTTTCAGCTGTTTCCGTTGTTTGCGACTCAGGATCCCTGAAGCCTCAGGACCAATTGTCCTCTCTTGGCTTTCAAAATGAGGCTGGCTGGGAGACTGTGAAAGAAATTGTTTGCAAGCATGCATGGTTCAACAGTTCAACATGTTACATAATTTGAAATTATGTTTCTTTCATGTGGGAAATTCCTTTAAGCAGTTGATACGACTTTGTCAATCAATCAGCTGCCCATCCAACCGCACTTGTCTGAAGAGCCTGCATGAGATTTTGCTGCAGCTCAACAGTCACCCCAAAGGGCCGGAGCCAGCTAATTTTCAATCTTTTCAAAATTTGAGCCACAGCCTAGCTCAGGCACCAAGATCGAGATCAGTAGCTCGAGAAGACCATGGAGGACCGATCAAAGCAGCTTGTAGATCTTCTCTGGCTCCATGTTCAAAGATCCCAACAGCCAGTACTTTGGCTTCACAGGTTTCACAGTTGCGGGAGGGTCAAATGACAGCTGGATTTCCCAAATAACTCCAGCATGGTTGCATTCCAGCTTGGAAACATTTTCGAACAAAGCCCCAGCCTGTGCCCTCTTCAATGTGGTACCAGCCAAGTCAGCATCGGACAATTTGTCAGGACCAAATGCCAGCGCATGGTTGCCGAGCCGAAGTTTGAGACGGCAAAACATGTCGATTTCGATGCCCTGTTTGTGCAGTTCTCAGCACTGACTTGCTGAATGCTGAAAAGCGTTGATAAATGCTGAAAAGCATTGATAAATGCTGAAAAGCATTGAAAATGCTGAAAAGCATTGATAAATGCTGAAAAGCATTGATAAATGCTGAAAAGCATTGATAAATGCTGAAAAGCATTGACAAATGCTGAGAAGCATTGGTTATGTAGACAAACATTGGCTGAAGCTGAAAATAGCATTGATCAAATGCTACCAAAACAAAGAATGAACAGCTCCAGCCTTTCTGGTGATCTTCATCGGCATGCAGACGTGCTGGTCCACTTTCATCTCGGGGACGTTCTTCTCAAATGCTTGGAAAAGCAAGCTGGAAATGGTGCGAGGAGCCTTTTCAAGCACCACAGCCTTCTGGTCATCGTTCGGGATGTGCCACATGATCACCCTCTCGGTGCCTCAGGCCAGCTCACTTCACAAGGTGGCTGAATCGACTTCTGGAAAAAAAAGAAAAATCACAGACTTCAATCTTGTCCGAGAAACTTTTCAGCGTTTCAGTGTCATCTTGGATCATGCTGCCAGTGTTGAAACCAAACAGCTCGCCTGGACCAAAGACCCATGCCCTCTCACCATGAATGGCCGCTTCCATGTGGAGGTAGATTGAGTGATCTTTGGTAATCAACAGAGTTGGGCTTGTTGCAGTGCCACGGATCTTGTAAGCCCTCAGCTGCACAGCAGTGTCAAACACTAGAGACATGGTGTATGAGGTAACATCACCCGGGTCCCGTGAACATTCATTTAGCCTAGCTGCACATCGTCCAGGTTGAAGTCAGCAAGCTTGACCGATTCCAGGTTCAAAGCACTGTTGAACTGCTTGGGCTGCGCACCGTCCAAGTCAGGACCTGTCAAAGCCACAGCACCCACGTCATTGCCAACAGTTCGACCTGAGCAATGGGTGTTGGCAGCCTCCAGTTTCTCCAGCAAAACCCTGGCATTGTCACAGGCAGACTTCCATTGAGGGCTGTATTCACTGTCACTGTTGAACTTGCTCTCAAGGATCTCAGGGAAAGTGACCTTCGATCCATCCGTGGTCCAGGAAAGGAGTGTCAGGGAAGGCCTGGTCACTGCACTCTCAGCAGTGCAGACTGGCTCCTCAGGCCCTGCGTCAGGGTGACTCTCCCACCATTGCTCCATCAGCATTTGCTGCGTCCTGGATCGCATGCCATTGAACTCGCTGACATCAGAAGCAGTGTAGCGAGTGCAATACACCACCATTGGCACGTCGCCTCCCTGAAGATACCTCTGATGAAGGTTCCAGGAAGCATCCAGCCAGTCACCAAATGTCGGATTGATGTCCATGACAATCACTTTTCGGGTTCGAACCTCACCAGAGGCCCGACCCATCATCAGTGGAAGCAGGATCTGCTCACAGGCTTTGGGCCCCAACTGAGATCCACGTTCCTGCGCGTTCAAATGCTCCTTCCTTGCCACAGCATCTGCCTGGGGGATGTGGCGCAAATCCCGTGGAGGCAGCATGTGAACACCCTGGATGATCTTGTGTTGGTTCATGACCTGCGAAGTCATCCAGGGCGATGATTCCACAAAGGCTTCAGGCACACAGAGTCGAAATTGAACGACTGCATCACGTCTGTCATTCCCATGAGCTTCTCGAGTGTCAATCACAGCGTTGACTAAGCCCAAAATGCAAAGACCACCAGTGAGAAGTCGATCCTCGATCTTTCTGGTTGATGCAATCCATGAAGACTCAGCCTGAGATGTGATCCTCAGCGGATATCTCACAAGCACTGCGCACATTGGCGACTGCTGGCAGATTGCTGCAGCACTTTGAATCATGTTGGCCATGGTGGTCGGGTTCGGGCTGACACTGAAGTCCAAGATGACCAAAGTTTCCCTCAGTGGAAATGCCATCAATGAGAATCAGGTTGGGACATCATGTATCACAACAGTTTGTGTTTAAATCTGTTTCTGTCACACTGTCACTAAACATAAGCTTCACACGTCTCATCATGTCCAAAGCCCTGGATCTCTCGACCAGAAAATGCTTTGAAGACGCTGTAGTGCTTGGGAATATCTGCAATAACTTCTTCATCAGCCATTGTTCCAACGTCCAGGCGCATCTTCATGAAGTCAAGGGTCCTCTGCAAACCTGTCTGGCGGCGGTGTCTCTTATGTGCACTAAGTGACTGGCTCCAGTTGGCCCTGGATGCATCCAATTCACTCATGTACTTCTCGATCTTCACCTGATCTTGCTTCAAATCCTCCACCAGAGACATGAACGTTGCACTCTCGAGTGACTTCTGCAGATCTGCCCTTTTTTGAGCAGCTTGGAGGACAACCTCACTGTTCAACTTGTCCAGCACAACTTTGAACTCAGGAATCCTGGAGCAATCAATGGCTGGTTGGGCATCTGCATCTGCTTTGAGAACATCATCCATGGTGCCCATGTCAAAGGCAGCCATCAGCTTATCCTTCTCGCTGTTGAAATTCGATGCCGGCAGCTTGCTTTGCAAGTTCTCCAAGTAAAGCTGGAAACATCGGCAAATCTTCTGCATAGCAAAGATTGTCGCTTCATCAGCTGTCTTTCGAAGACCAGTTGGCAATCCAATCCAGTTGCCGAAGATGCGATTGATGATCATGTCCTGGGTCTCTGCAGTGCTGGCCATTCTTCGATCCCACCACTCATCTTCACAGTTGGGCTTGTAGCCAAATCTGAGCCCTTTGCATCCAATGGACGCATGGGAGAACGGGCCACGCGCCATGCCGTAGGTGGTCCCAATCCTTGCAAGCTTGGATCTCTGCTCCTTGTTCCTGACAGAAAGAAATAACTTCGAAACTTTGCAGCGCAATCATGCAACAAACCCCTCTTTAAAAAAAATGTGCTCTTCAGCACTTCATCCGCTTTTCAGCGGTGGGATGTGCTTTTCAGCACTGACATGCTCTTCAGCACTGACATGTGCTTTTCAGCACTGACATGTGCTTTCCAGCACTGTGCTTTCCAGCACTGACATGTGCTTTCCAGCACTGTGCTTTCCAGCACTGACATGTGCTTTTCAGCACTGTGCTTTCCAGCACTGACATGTGCTTTCCAGCACTTGAATTTCACGCATGTTGTTGAATATCAGCACGTCATCCGAAAATTTCTCTGAAGCCTAAACTTGCAACTGAGACACATGAACAAAAGAAGGTTCTTCGTAGCAGCTTCCTCAGCAGGACTCAGGTTGAAGCCAGCCATGCCCTCCAGAAACTGCGTCATCTGCACGGAGATGTCGCCATTGTGCAGCAATGCTTTCCGCTCAATCTGGTGCAAGTTGACAAAGCAATTTGCTTTGGTTCGGGTCAAAGTTGAAGCCAATGTGATGTCTGCAAAGTTGTGGCATGACAGCACAGCTTTTGTTCACAGCGAGCACCACACATTTCAGTGGGATTCAGTGGGCTATATCAAACAAAAATATTTCATATGAACGCAATTAATTTTAAAAAACTTGGTCGGACGGTGCCTCTGTTGATGTCCACGATGTCCTCGTCTTCCCTGTAGGGTCTGAAGTTGGCATAGACTGTACTGAAACCATTGACCTTGCCGCCCAAGTACTTCATGTACTGGTCCAAAATGCCAACTTCACAGCACAACTTCAGAACCAAGTGCATGGCACATGCCCTGCTCCAACCTTTGATAAGACTGATGCTGTTTGCAGGAGCGCAATCTGGCTCGATAATGGGCATGTGCATGGCCGCGCCCTGAATGAGCTTGGCGTGGTGTTTCGAAATCACTGGCATCTCCACACCGGCTATGCTAGAGGAGGTTTCAAACCCCTTAGCCAAAATGAGCTGAATGAGGTTCCTGAAGTTCTCCTGCATCACGTAACCTTTGTTCCCGGCTTCTCTTTTCCAGCTCAGCATGAAAGGTCGAAGATGGACCTGGCAAGCCTCTTCCATCTCATCCGCAGACAAATATTCGACATCTGACTCAGCAGGGAAAGTCTCAGACAGGAAATTTCTCCAGGCCAGCTGCTCCTGCTCATTGGGAAAGAAGTGCTCCAAAATGACCACGATGTCTTGGTGCTGCTTCCATTCAGCATCAAACCTTTCGAGAACCTTTCCGAGCCAAGGGTTCACAACAAAAGTGGCCTTGATGTCATTCGGCACCTGAATTGCTGTGTCACCATCCTTGATGCTCTCCCTGGAAGCTTTCTTCTTTGGAGGTCCAGTTGATGATGCACCACTGCCGCGCTTTCCCATGGCGATGCGACGAGTTGCCCTCACAGATCCTTTGATCCAAAATCCTTGAGGCATCACACTCATCACAAATGATTCGATTTCGGTTGAACCCATGGCTAGACTTCTAAGGAACCGGAAGTGGCCATGAACTTGAATTTCTGATGAATGAAGTTGCTGTTCATCACAAATCAAGATCGGCGGGACTACCTCAGTTTGTGATGAACTTGACTGAGGTTCATCACAAAATCATACTGTCTTCAAGACCTTGGATCAGTTTTTCACTGATTCTTTTCATACCTGTGCCTGGGGAACAAGGTGATTTGTGATGAACCTCAGTCAGGTTCATCACAAATCCAGGTTTCTTTGGATAGGTCATTTTGTGATGAACAACCATGTGGTATTGATTTGTGATGAGCCTGACTGAAGTTCATCACAAATCACTGGCTGGGATTAACAAGTTGCCAGCTGATTTGTGATGAACCTGACTGAAGTTCATCACAAATCACTGGCTGGGATTAACAAGTTGCCAGCTGATTTGTGATGAACCTCAGTCAAGGTCATCACAAATCACTGGCTGGGATTAACAAGTTGCCAGCTGATTTGTGATGAACCTGACTGAAGTTCATCACAAATCACTGGCTGGGATTAACAAGTTGCCAGCTGATTTGTGATGAACCTGACTGAAGTTCATCACAAATCACTGGCTGGGATTAACAAGTTGCCAGCTGATTTGTGATGAACCTGACTGAAGTTCATCACAAATCACTGGCTGGGATTAACAAGTTGCCAGCTGATTTGCGATGAGCCTTCCTGAAGTTCATCACAAATCACTGGCTGGGATTGAAAAGTTGCCAGCTGATTTACGATGAACCTCAGTCAAGTTCATCGCAAATCATTCGATCTCTTCTGGGACAGGTTTTGTGATGAAAAAGTTGCCAACTGATTTGTGATGAAGTCCTATTTGCTCAATCTAGACTTCAAGGACATTCTAGAATCAAAGACTCATACTAGAACAAGCTTGTTTACAAGCCACTGCGTCTCTTCTGAGTCAAGTTCGTGAGGCAAAAGTTGCCAACTGATTTGAGTTGAATCTCCGTTCGGTTTGCTACAAATCACACTCTTTTGATTGCGGGTCGGTTTTGTGAACAAGTTTTGAGACAAGACAGCCAACATTCTCGAAATTCCTAATCTCAAATTATTTCAGCATCCCAACATCATTCTGCTCGTTGTTACTTGGCACTGCTGAGAAACAATGCTGATGTTTTTCACCTTATTCTAGTTTCTGGTCCCTAGAGTGAGCAATGTCGTGACCATGAAGACAGTGCTACACGGCTTCAATATATCTGAAACCAACGTTCTCTGATTGTGAAGAAACATTGAAAAACTGAATCTGTCAAAAGAAGCTTCATCGAATGTTCAGCTGGACAATATCTCTTGCAGCAGCCTTTCTTTTGACACATTCTCAGATCGTTGCACAAAGAGGTCAAACCCTCAAAGCCTAAGCCAACCTTACCTGCACAGTGTCTCTGCAAACACAATGCGAAGGATTTCAAGAAGGTGGCGCACAACCAAAGTGAATTTGTGCAATGAACAAACGAATTGGGCACACAGACCGGTCATATCAAGCTCCAAACGGCCCTTAGGGTGGTGTGGCAGTTTGGCCAACAAATCATTCAGCAACCTAATGGATAGAGTCAATTGGTGCCGAAGACCCCTCACCTTGACATCTGCGTCAAGCATTGCAAACATCTTCTCCAAAATGGACTTTCCATCATTCGTGTCATCTGGGTCATCCAACAGCCTGAAATTGCCTTCAGAGACAAAGTCACATGCCACCGGGCTAGGATGCTTGGCCAAACTGATCACCATAGTCCACAGCTTGATGTTCACTGTGATGCACTGCTGGTCGTCAACAAAGTTTGAAAAGAGATGCCCTCCTTGCAGTGTCAACAGAACCTCCCTGCTACTGTAGCAGTCAATGAGCAATCCATAGATGACCAAGATGTCCAAGGAAGTGAGCTCCATGGATGGGAAACGAGACAGCAAGGCTTCAAGCTACTCCTGAACCAAAACACATGAAGGAAAGCCGGTTTCTCAGCATGGCAGAACCGAATGAGTGGTTGACGAATGAATGGCTGCTTCCAAACAATTCATGGCTGCTGCCAAACAAGCTTGCTTGTCAGAGGTATACGTTTGCTGTTCAGCTACGGTGGTTGCTTTTCGACTTCAGGTGGCAAAGACATACGGTAAATGTTTGCTTTTCATCTAAGGTCGTTTCTTTTCAACACCAGGACATGCAAAAAACGAGAAGAACGTCAGAGGTTGTTAGAGCAGCTTTTTTTTTCACATGCTCGGCTCCATAGTCAACGATCATATCAGCCATTACTTTGGCTTGCTAGCTTTCACAGTCGCTGGGTGTCAAATGACATTTGGACTTCCCAGACATCCAAGATTAAATCAGTGAACTGAACTGCTCAAGATCCGACTGTGCGACTATGGATCAAGAGCCATTCCATTCAATCACTGCAAAGCCATACCGGCATCTGGAATCCAGCATGCAAAATCTGGATCATCGGGCCAATTTAACTAGGCCATTGACATTGCGTCATGCTTTGCAGAAGGCTTCTTCTTGATCTTCACATTGCCATCCACAACGGTTTTCTGCGAAGCCATCTTGCCCTTGTTCACCTGGTGCTGCGACGCTTTCTTCTTGTTCTTTGGAGAAGCCTTCTTCATAGTTTTGCTAGACTTCTTGGAAGCTTTCTTTGGCTGTGACTTCGGAGTTGCCTTCGGGCGGGCCTTGGGCTTGCTGGCTGCCTTCATCGGCATGGGCATGTGTCGACTGCTCATCGATGGTGTTCCTGAAATTTTGCCACCAGGCTTTGCCTTCGTGTACTGCGGCATTTCCTGGACCTCCTCATTGGGGATGACTGGCTCCAGGAGACTCTTGTTCCACATGTGCCGGGGCACAATTTCACCTTCAATGATGAAAGCCAGATTCATCTCTCCATTTTTTTCGATGATTTTCTTCGCAATGTCCCACCAAGTGCTCGTCAAACGCGGCATCTTCTCATCGATCATTTTCTTGCCACTGAGCAAGTACGCGTGGACGGTGATGGGAATATGGGCTGGGAAATCAAAATTTGAATCATACAGGCCAATGTTCAGGAGCTTTTGATCCGGCGTAGAAAGCCCATCGCCAAATCTCACAGCCAGCAAATCTTGGCCAGAGTAAACGTGAGCAGCCCTCTTCAGGACCATGCCGTTGTTCAGCATCTGACCCAACTTGTACTTGAACGCAACGCACGTCCGGAGAGTGAGGTAGAACTCCTGGCTGCCACCTTCACACCACAGCTTTGTCAGCCGGGAGCATCCACAGTCACCCAAGCGTCTCCACTCCTCATCATCGCCACAAAGCACTCCCTGGATGGAGTCAGTGGTGCGAATCTCTTTCCACTGCCATTGGAGCTTCATGATGGGCAGCGGTTTTGGGGCAACTGGACTTGAACTGAATGTCTACGCAGTGTCGGAAAGCTTTGATGACCTGATATAAAGCTGTTGCTGAACTTCTTTCACGAGCTTCTTACCAAATCTCAATTGAATTTCAATTGTCGTTGACAATCGGATGATGTATCAGCAGCCAGTTGCTACCAACAAGATGAAACAGTGGCTGGTCAAAATGTCCACTTATTCTCAAGCTGTACTGATCCTCTGCCACGAATCTAAGAGTATTTCAATCTCTTCATACCTTAAGTGAATTTCAACTGTCGGCAGCCAGATCAAGCTACTAAGAGTATTTCAGTCTCTTCATACCTTAACTGAATTTCAACTGTCGGCAATCAGATCTACCAGCTCAGTAGCCTTTTTTCCTACAAGATTTACAAGTCCCGAACTGGCATCTCGAGCATGCCATCTTCTTCGGCATCATTTTTGATGACCTTTTTTACAGCGTTTTTATGCTGTTTGGGAAACCGTGCCCAACTCTGCTCTCCAAGGGAGATGGCGTTGGGCCAAGAAAAGTTGTGGTGGGTCACCAACTCAGCAGCAACTGAGTAAACAAACTCAGCTTCCATCGACGGTGAAAGATGATCAGGACCAGCAGGATTGGCCGAATTAAACCTGCGACCTGCATGAGAGACCACCATCCGAGCCATCATGGGCTCCAGCCCAACAGCTCTTTGTCCAGCTTGCTGGTCTACAAAGAAGTTCATGGGATCCATCCTGCTCGGTGGCCGTTGAAGCTTGAGACAATCCAAGATGAAGCTGATGTCCAGCAAGTCAGGCCGCGCATGTTTTTCATTCACCCAATCGCGAAGTTCCTGTGCTGCTCTGCGCATGAACCACGGTTTTTGCTCCACAGCATCTGCCAGTTTGAAGATGTTCTTGATATAGTCCTTGGTCTTCTTCCTCCTGGGGAAAAGATCTGCTGGACCATCCCTCGGCAACTGCTTGATGTCGTTGGTGCTGCAAAAATCCAGCCGACAAGGCCAGGAAATGTCGCTCATGAATTGTCGACACCTGCCATGGTATGACAGCTTCATTAGTCGTATGCTGAACTGGAACTCATCACACAGTCACACTAGTGCCACTTCTCAGCTATCAGTCTCACCTTTGCTTTTCAAAAACAATATTCCCAAAAAGACTTTGGCTGCTTTTCAGCAATGGTTGCTTCTCAGCAATGGTTGCTTCTCAGCAATGGTTGCTTCTCAGCAATGGTTGCTTCTCAGCAATGGTTGCTTCTCAGCAATGGTTGCTTCTCAGCAATGGTTGCTTCTCATCAATGTAATGGTTGCTTCTCAGCAATCTGATCCTGTAAATATATAATGCATGAATAATGTAAATGAATGCTTTTCAACATTCAGATTTTGATTGCTATGAATGAACTTTCAGCATTTAGTTAGGTTTTGGCTGCTTCTCAGCATCCTGATCTTGTAGATATGTGATAGGTTTTGATGGTTAAAGATGTTTATCGGGCAGCAAGCCCTGCCTGAGCACCACGGTGTCACCCTCCAGTCTGAAGTTGAAGACGTGTGGAGCACGCTGGCCACCATGTCCTTTCATCTGGACGCCCAGCTTCTCAAAGTACAGTTTCCAGTTTCTCATCTCATCCCGGATAGTCACCACACGAAGAGGCTCATGCGGTCTGTCCAATTTCTCCAGAAAACTCTGCAAGGCTGTTTTGAAGTCGTCCAGCGTCTGTGCCTCGGTGAGTCTGTTTCTGGTGAATGAACTCATCTGGCCATGCTGCTGATCAACATCCTCGTGAGAATGACCGCTCCTCAAAAACTGCACCGTTGCGGATGACAGCCCGGACAGAGCCGCAACTGTTGCAGTGAATGCGAAAACAGTCAAATTCTTATTGGAGGATGCAGCATTGTCCAACTGTAGGTATAGATCCCGACCTTGCAAAGATACCCCTTGCTTCACAAACAGTGTCAAAACATATGCCACCAGTTCCACTGTCGCAGACCCACCGGTGTGCACGTCGCAGTGGCTGAGTGCAAGGATGTCTGCAAAGCCATGCGCTATGGCTGCGACAATGTGAAGCCGGGGCCGAATCACGCTGTCAAACTGATGCGCTGCAAAACAGCGGTTTCTAGGCCAGCAAAATTTTGCTTGATCAGCACCATCCAGTATGACCACAATGGGCTGCTTGTGCAGCCGCGCCATTGACCTGAGGTGCCAGTACAGGGTTCGGTCCTGGTATTGGCTATCAATGTGGCGTTGCCAGAGGGATCGTTGCTTCTCTCTCGACTTGATGTCGTGAGCAAGCTGTCGGATCAACGCTTTGTGCTTAAGGCACACAGTGCAGCAGCGATGGGTGAAGCCTTTGCGAATCTTCATCATGTAGAAGTCAGAGCACCACACCTGCCAAAAGAGTCGGAAGCTGCACTTGATCTCAGGCCGAAGTGTGATCATTTGCTTCCAATGATCAAACATTGTGCTTTGTGGCAGATAGCGTTCCTCCCTCTGCTTGGTGACCTTCTCTGCTGTTGGTACAGACTGGGCTTGAGTACCGTCAGCTCTTCTGATGTGAATGATGGGCGTGCTTTCATTCTCATCGGCATGTTGCAAAGCGTCTTCATCATCAGATCCTGGCCCTGCATCATCTGGAAGGGTTTCAGCCTGGCATTCATAGAGCTCCAGGAGGTATCCGTGAACTTCCCCCCATTTGCTTGACACTGCCTTGTGCAATCCTTTTTTCAGAAATCTCATATCAACTGGCGCAGAAAGCTTTCCTGACAGTACAGCCTCCAAAATCCGATGAAATCGAGACTTGCCGATACCTTGCAGTTTGATCCAAGCGCCTCTGCACACCTGTCTCCCATTGAAGTAGTATTGAAGAGGGCTTCGCTGTGATTGGAGCTCTGATACTGCCAGCCCATTTGCACGAGGGTCCAAGGCCCCACATGAGATCGCTAGCTCACGTAGATGATCAAATATCTTAGCTGCCAGTCCCAACTAATGTTCACAAGATCTGCTTGACTCAAACGCATTCTGTTCACTTCACACAGACTCGCAAAATTGTCTGCAGTAAACTCAACAACGCGTCAGGAGGTTGAAAAGAAAAGCCAAGTAGCCAGTCGATCTTGGTCTAACTTTCCCATCTGCAGAAACTGGCAATGGAATTTAACCAGATCATTGAAGCCCACGCCACAGAAGTAGGCAAAGCAACTCTCTGAACCTGCTCTCTTCTTTCTGCAGCACTCACACATATAACCTTTCAATTTCCGAGCCCAGATTTTACGAAGATCTTCTGGATCAGAAGGCTTGGAACGTGTTCCTTGAGCGTGCCCATCCTCTGAATCGGTCAGCTCCTCTGCTTTAACCACTCCAGGCTCGTCGCACTCTGAATCACTGAGTGCATTCAGTCTTTCTAAAACACGATGATGGGACATGGGAAGCTTCAACCAAATGCTGATCAGAAAATTATATTCATGTTTAACAATATGTCGCTTGAAAGCGTGCGCCAGTATCATGCTATCAGTCATGGTCACTGCTTTGCAAAGTTGTCTATTTCAAAGCACTTTGAGTTCGTTTTTGTGTACTGTTGATTCAATTGAAAAGATGTCAATTCAATGCATTGCGGTTGGTACTGTTGATGCCATTCATGCTTCTTGCATCTTCTTGGTGTTAGGTTTCTGCGGCTACTTTGAGCTTGCTTCTCAGCAGTAGAGAGACCGTGGCTTCTGAGTGCAAGATAAGATGGCCTCTCAGTTCCATGCGTTTTACCTATGCAGGTAACTAAGGTGTGCACGATTTGCACGATCATTCCACCATATCGAGGAAGAACATTTGACTTCTCCTCGGCCAGTGAAGTGTGTGGCACACAGGTCTTGTTTACCCTTGGACAATTTCAAGAATTCATTCTTCACATTGTCAAAACGTCGTCCCCCGGCCAATTAGGGCGGTGAACTTTTGGTGACCTAAATTGTGGTCGACACTGGCGCGTCCCCTACGAAACACATGATGGCATGTGCTCTACAAATGATATTTTTTTTATAAATTTTTAAGAGTTTTCACTACAACATACCACGGTCACGGAATTCCTGAATACTATTATATCATGTTTTAGTCTAGACACGTCATACTGCCTTGACATCCACTACAAAATGCGAGGATTCTGTGTCTACAATGAGCGACCCCTGTTTGGAAGCACACTATTTTGTTCCATTAATTGAATTGGACAGTGTTTACATAAGTGGTCCCAGATACAGAGGTGGGCCATAGATCCATGTAAGAAGTACAACATTTTCTTTACTAAATGAAAATCAAAAACCCAAATTTAGTGGACATAATGTACCCTCAAAGGAAATGGGCCGGGGGACACAAGATTGGCAATTAGTCATCGTCAAGTTTTCGGATTCTAGGATCCCTGCCAGGAAGAAAACATGCGGGTTGATGCATCTCACTCTGTGTCGGGCATGACCTATTCCAAACCCGGGTTTGACGTGAGAACTGTGGGGTTTGGAATGGGTCCTCTCAAGCTGAGGTCGCTACAAAGAAAATGTTCAAACAGTTTGCCAACTTCTGCTTTTCAGCAGTGTGCTTCTCAGCACGCATACAGCTTTTCAGCTTTGCATGTTTGAAATGCTTCTCAGCATAGAATTCGCTGCTTTTCAGCAGTGTGCTTCTCAGCATAGAATTCGCTGCTTTTCAGCATAGAATTCACATTAGAATTCACTGCTTTTCAGCAGTGAAACTTCAGACAAAACGCTGCTTGCAGCATCTTGCAGCTAAGGCTGGAGCATCTTGTGGCCTTCACTTGGACTCAGCCTCAGCAGTCGACAAACAATCGCAGTTTGCTGAAAAGCAAACTTACAAGATGTTCATGCTGAAAAGCACTCATGTATGCTGAAAAGCACCCATGTATGCTGAAAAGCACTCATGTATGCTGAAAAACATTCATTCATCAGTCTGCCGATTTGTTGAGGTCCCTTGTGAGAAACATGTACAGATAGATCCAAACCGAACACATTCAACATTGTCAAGCGCGCTGATGCACGTGTGCCTGTTGTGTGTTTGGGTGATGGTTGCATCTGTTTTTGGGCTCAACAAAGGACAAATTCCTTTAAAAGGAAAAAATGGGTAGAGGTAGGACCGCAGCCAGACTGAGTCACCGAGCAAGCCAAATTACACAGCCAGGTGAAAAAAAATCAGACTGCAAGTTATTTGCAAGCACACGTCCTGTGGAGCGACTGGCATTATGGGTCAAACAATGCAACGTTAAGTCTATGACACCCTTCGCAAACTTAGGGACCAACCACTAACACCTGCCAACAAAGTAGCACTAAAAACTCAGCACTGAGTTTCTTCTCCCCGGGCCCAGCGCAGCCATGGCTGGAAAAGGAGGTGGCAAACAGGGCCCTCAGCGACAGGGGGTGGGCTACATGCTCAGACGAGCAGAGAGGGCGGTCACCGCCAACACGAACATGCACAGGGCTGTCAGTTGGCTGTTCAGACAGCTCCAATGCCCTCCGTTGGATGACGTGATGTTCGAGCTGGAGGAGGGGCGGCAGCCACAGACCCCACTGGTGCTGCAATGGCTCCAAGAAAGGGGGCAGCAGCTCCTCACAGCGCAGGCTGCTGCGATGGCACAGCAGGCCATGGCGGCACAGCAGGCCATGCAGCAGCAGCAGCTGCAGCAGATGCAGCAGCAGCAGATGCAGCAGCAGCAGCAGACGCAGCAGCAGCAAATGCACAACATGGCACCACCGCCGCTGGATCAGCAGATTCCCCCCGGGTCCGCTGGGCCATCCAGGCCACCCATGATGGGGCCATGTGCCACGCCACCCACACGTGTCGGGCCCCCACCGCCAGCACCACCTCCAATGATGGGACCTGGACCTATCGCGCCTGGAACTCCCCAAGCCCCTCCAATGATGCGACCTGCTGGACAAGCTCCAATGGTTGGCTTGATGATGCCTGGACCAGGACATCGACTTGCAGCAGCACCCCCAGCACGCACCGCTGCAGCAGGACCCTCGGAACCTGCACACCGGCCACCACGCTCAGAGCGACCACCAGAGCCAACGATGCCACCGAGATCACATCAAGCAAGACCACCAGCCGGCCCAAAGGAACCAGAACACCCACCACCAGAAAAGACCGGGGCAAAGGGGCCACCAGGAGCAAAGGGGCCACGCCCAGCACCCGCAGAAGCCGCAAAGCCAGAGCCACCAAAACAAAAGCCTAAGCTGCCCCAACCACTACAACGAATAGAAAAGAAAGCCATGCCTGATCAGAGGCCACCAGCCAAAGCAGGTGAGGCTAAGGCAAAAGCTGTAAAGGCAGGGTTGCAGAACAAAAAATCATAATATCATGGTTTTGTTGACTTTTTGCAGGTGATGGATGAGCCCGCCGAGACCGGCACTGCATCGAAGGACTGCATATTTTCTTCAACAAAGAATTGTCTGATATTAAAATCCCACTTTGTTCAATGACAATGGCAGGAAAAGGCTGAGCCTGATGGGCCGCGCACTGCAGCTACATCCAGCAGTGGATGCGAGGACAGCACATTTTTCTTTAAACGGTGACGTTTGAACTTATTTTTTTTTCTTTGTGACTGCGAATGTGAACTGGGTTGCCCCCCCCTTCACCCGAAATGGGTTCAATTTCCTAGTTTGGGACACGGTTTTGGCAACCCAGTTCACTTGCTGACTTTTGACTTCCTTCCATATTTTTTTTCGCAGGAAAAGCAAACAAGCAGTGGAGCGAAGGACTGCACATCAAAGAAAAGGTGATGTTCGAACTGACTTATTGCTGAATTTTGGTTTCGTTCCATGCTTCTGGCAGGACACTGTGCAAAGCTCCTCATCCAAGGACTGCATCATGTTTAAAAGCAGTTGATTGAATGAGGCATGCAGCAATATGTTGAACTTTGTACTCGCATCGTGCTGACAAGCACAACACATTGTGCTGAAAAGCACACCACATTGTGCTGAAAAGCACAAGACAGTGCGCTGAAAAGCAGCACTGCTTCTTTTAGATTCCTTGAGTTACACCTGATTGTGGCATCCTGTCTTCAGGCTGGGACCATCATGCAGGCAACGCCCAAGGTCAGAGGTGCTGCCCCGAAGACAGACGCGTCACTGACCCAGCCGGTGCTAGTGTCTGTGTGTGTGAAACGGCCAATGTGATTTCACAGCATTTTTAGACCCAAACTGAATCTTCAGGAAGAGAAAAGGTACGACTGTGACTGAAGATGAAAAACAGAAGGATGTCCAGGCGGACAGTTGCCAAGTTTCACATTCAATCGTTGGCCATATTTGTCTGTCTGCGAGCTTCTTCAGGTGAAGTCAGAGTCTACCATGGAGCCATTGCCCAAAAAAAGGCGAGATGGAGAAGAAAAGGAAAAGAAGGCACGATCTTTTCACAAATAATGTGCCAAAAGTGAGATTCGAAGAAACCGCATTTTCGTTTATTTTGTCTACATTTCTTGCGACAGGAGGAAAAAAAGAAAAGAACGGAATGAGCGAGGAAACGCAACAACCTTCCAAGCACGCGATGATTGGTGAAAAAAAAAATTGCCGGGTTGGGTATGTTGTGTGTGTGTGTTTCAGTTCGCGCACACATTGAAATCTTTCACACATCGGTGCAAGTCTCTCAAAGCCTCAATGAACTAATTGTGCATCGCTTTGCGGCCGAGGAACTTCCAAATCCTGCTCCTGCACTTCAAGTTCTCTTCCTGCGCTCCATAAACCAGGACAGATCGC